TACACGGCATCTTACCTGTTTACCTACTCAGCTCACTAGATTGTAAATTGCTAGAGACCAGGACTTTGTTGTCCTGTACTCAGCTATAATTTAGTGCCAAGAATTGTGCAGGGCAAACAAAGGCAAATGTTCAAATACATTTGCTGAATAAATGTTGATCTACAGAAATACAGAACTGCTTGTACTTTTCCCCAGCAGCTGTCATGTTATTTTACACTTTCTCTATATGGTTCTATGGCTCCCTCTGCCTGTAAGATTTTTTCTCAACTCTGTTAAACTCTTGAGGAAGGACTTAAAACTTTTGCTGCAGAAGATCAAGGACTACAGCCTTCGATATGGAAAACACTTCAACATTAAGAAAACAAAGGTCCTCACTACTGGGCCAACAGGCAACATCATGATAGAGAGAGAAAGGATTGACGTTGTTAATTATCTTCTTGCTTGGATCCATAATTTACACCCTTGGTACTAGCAATCAATCAAAAAGATCAGGAGATGCATTGCATTGGGCAAGTCTGCAATCAGGACCCTCTCCAAAATACTGAAGAACTATGAAGTCAGTCTGAAGACTAAGGTGCACCTCATCCAGACCAGGACAATTAATAAGAATGAAAGAAGATTCAGTACTTTTGAGTTGTGTTGGAGAAGTGGACAGGCTACCCAATGTTCTTTTTGCCAAAAGAACTAACAGGTATGTCTTGGGGAAAGTGCACCCAGAGTGTTCCTCAGAGGTAAAGACAGCGAAACTTCATCTCTCATAACTTGGGCATGTTGCTTGGAAAGGGACATTATGCTTGGAAAGGTGGAGTGTCGGCAAAAGAAAGGAAGATTCCCAGGGAGACAGATTGACACAGTGACTGCAAAATCGAATCTGAGTGTGTCAGAGATGATGAAGATGGCACAGGATAGGACAGGGTTCGGGTCTGTTGTTCATCAACTTGATGGCGCCTAACAGTAACAGCTTAGCTTGAGTCTGTGATGTTGGGCTGCATATTCTTCCTCCTCTCTATATATATATTGCTCCATGTATGACTTAATCACGGCACATACTAAAATGATGTTTTTGTGCCAGTCTTCCCCCATAAGAAGCAGTTGAGCAAACTGATTAAGAGCATCAACTCTACAGCCAGACAACCAATATTTGAATCCTAGCTGTGGGACCGTAAGCAGATGGCTTTATTTCCTAACCTTTAAAACAAGGATAATGAAAGCACACATCTCACAATGTTTCTATATGATAAAAGGATTTATATTTCCAAATACTCAGAGAAGTCACTGTTCTTATAGGTGCCATAAAGTTGACTGCAACTCACAGCTACTCTATGAACAAATCTGAACCCTGTCCTATCCTGTCACTAGCACATAAGTGGGATATGTTAAACTGTACAAACATCCATGAAAGAATCCATGAGTGTCTATCAGTGTGTAGAATTTCTAAGTAAATGTCTAAATACTTACTGAACCGATAATTGTACTATCAGGAAAGACAAAGGGATAAGGGTTCAAATTAAGGTAGTAACAATAAAAGGCTGATGGATATGAGATAGGTCTGGAGTGAAAGAGTCAACAGAAAAAGTGGCATGCCTAGGATATATAGTAAAAAGGTGGTAATGCTTAGGGTGATAGCTAGGTTTCATGGTTTGGATACTTGGTGGATCACAGAGCTAGGGAATCAAATATTAAAAAGGAAGACAAATTCTCAGCAATTTTTTATCAACACTACCAGGCTGCCCCCCGGAGGCAAGGAATCTGAGACTTCATCTGATATACTTTGGGCATGTTGTAAGGAGGAACCAGTCCTTGGAGAGGGACACCATGCTTGGTAGGGTGGAGGGATAGACTGATACAGTGACTGGGGTAATGAGGGTAGGTGAGTCAGAGACAGTAAAGTTGGCACAGGCTAGAGCAGGTTTCAGGGCTGTTGTATGGAGTCGCTATGAATCGCAGGGGACTCGACGGCACTTAACAACAACAAAACAAAACTTCATTCAGTGCTTAAAGACAGAAAAAGAAAACATTTGAATGCTCATCAATCATTACAGGAACCTGGCACATTACATAACAACAAAAAAAAAATTAAGCCACAAAAATGAATTGTTTCCTTCCATTTTTCTCACTGCTTTCTCTGATATTTGCAGGCCCACTGCCTGTGAGTTGATTCCGATTCAGCACTAACTCTCCCTCCGGGTTCCAATGCTGCACATGCTCTTGAGGAGACATTTATGTTCTCTCTTGGAGCGGCTGGTGATGAACTAGTGTTCAGAGTTGGGTCATGAGCACACTTGCAATGCACTCCACCCGCAGAGTTCATTGGTAATCAGCACATACTTACATCGCATATCAAATGAAAGAATGATTTATAGGGACATTTTCTCTCTCCATAGCCATTAAACCAAACTGTATTGAATAAGTATCACTACTATGTGTCTATTTGTGTTTAATTGATTATGCAAAAGCTTTTGACTGTGCGGATCATAACAAACTATGGCTGACACTGAGAATGGAAATCCCAGAATACTCGTATCCATGCAAAACCCACACATAGATAAAGCAGCTGTTGTACAAACAAGGGAACAATGCATGGTTTAAAACCAGGAAAGGTATGTGTCAGGACTGAACCCTTTCTCCATACTTATTCAGTCTTATGCTGGACAAGTCATTTGAGACACTAAATAATGCGAAGAATGTGACATCAAGTTTGAAGGAAGACTCATCAATAACCTGAGTTATGCAGATGACACAAGCTTGCTTGCTGAAAGTGAGGAAGACTTGATATGCTTGCTGCAGAGGATCAAAGACTATATGGGTTACATCTCAACATCAAGAAAAGAAAAACCCTCACCAAGAGTTAACATCATGATAGAAAGCGAAGAGAGAGAAATTGTCAATTATTTCAACTTGCCTGGATCCACAATCAACACCCTTGGCTCTGGCAGCCAAGAAATCAAGTGACACATTGCATTGGGAAAGTCTGCTTTTAGGAACTTGTCCAAAATGTTGAAGAGCAATGATGTCATTAGGAAGACTAAGGCACACCTGATCCAAACCATAATCTTTTCAATTACTTGCTATGCAGCTGAAAGTTGGATAGTGAATAAGGATGACAAAAGAACTGATGTGTTTGAGTTGTGGTGTTGGAGAACTGTGCTGAATAGTGTATGAACTGCCAAAAGTTCAAACAAAGTATGTCTTGGATAAAGTGTAGCCCATGTACTCCTTGTTATTGTTATGTACCATGGAGTTACCTGTAACTCATAGTGACCCTATGGACAACAGCTCTGAAGCCTGCCCTGTCCTGAGCCTGTCTCACTGACTAACACACCTACCATATTGCTCCAGTTTTTGTACCAATCATCCAGGATCTACCTCTTCTGCACTGTCCCTCCACTCTTCCAAGCATGATATCCTTCTCCAGTAACTGGTCCCTCCTGGCCACCTGCAAAAAGTATGTAAAGAGTTTCAAAATCCTACCCTCCAAGGAGAGACTTGGTTTCACCCTTTCCAAGACAGACCTATTTGTTTTCTTGGTGGTCCATGGCATGTTCAAGACTCTTCTCCAGCACCACAACTCAAAGGCATCTCTTCTTTTTCTGTCATCCTTAGTCATTGTCCAGCTCTCTGATGCATAGCAAGTAATTGTGAAGACCGTGGCCTGGATAAGGCACACCTTAGTCTCTAAACTGACATCACTGCTTCTTAGTACTCTGGAGAGGTTTATGACAGCAGATTTTCCCACTGCCATTTCTTTTGATTTCCTGACTGCTGGTGCCAAGACTGCTGGGTGCTCCTTGGAGACAGGAATTGTGAAACTTTGTGTCACATACATCAGGCACGTTGTTAGGAGAGGCCGGTCCTTGGAGAAGGACGCTCTGCTTGAAAAGGCAGAGGGGTCAACAAAGGAAGAGATGACCCTCACCAAGTAATCTGACACAGTGACTGTAACAGAGGGCTTGAGTATGTCAGAGATGATGAGGATGGCACAGAGCAAGGCAAGGTTCAGATCCACTGTTTATAGAGTTCCTGTGAGTTGTAGTCAACTTGATGACACTTAACAGTAACTCTGTTTCTAGCACTATTTGAGATTACTGCAAATACAATGGAAATAGAAATCTGCCTTTGTATACCTGTTCCCACACACACAAAACCAAAAATCCCATATTTAAGCTAGAATGAAGGAAAAAATTCATTGGCAGAAAAAAACCAAACCGCCACAATATAAGTTTATTACCAATCATATTATCTCAAAGTAGCCTCAACATCAATCAGGCACTCAAAAATTTTGTTGAATAAATTAATAAGTTTTTTTAAAATTAGTAATTTATTACATCAGGAAGTTCAAAATATCCAATTAAAATATGAGGAAAGGTTCAGCATAGAATCTATGCCAAATACAACAAATGAAAATAATGATACTCCAGGGTGACTGGTAGGAATAAAATAATGTGCTGTAGTAAGAAATGTCACAGAGAAAAAAAGAAAAGCTTGAAAAAGTGAGTCTATCCTAGAAAAATGAGAGATTAAAGGGGCCAGCAGAAACACTCACATTCCATGGCTATCTCAGTATGTTCACCTGACGCACACCCTTCAAAATTCTAGTGTGAAACTTCTCTTCAGATTGAAATTCTATGTACTGTTCAAAGCAGGTTGAACTTGATAAAGGGAAAATGCTATAGAACAAAATAAATGAGACAGACTATCTGATAATATTAACACAATCTGATAATTTTAACACAATTTTCCATAAGAAAAACAAATTTCAGAAATAATCCACTTGCTGCTACACTCCATATTTTCGACAATCTTCATCTGAGATTAAACTCATACTTTGTCAACAGAAAAAATTTCAGCCAATAGTCAGAGCTACTTAAAATCTAAAAGGAATATGTAATAATATTCTTCTGACGTGTAATAGACATCAGTATGCCATGTAAAATATGGATGGAATGCAACTAGAATGGACACATTTCATTTGCAATAGTAATCACAATTACGCGAAACCATGTTTTTCTTGTCAGCTTTATTCAAGTATTTCACAGCAGTTATATTACAAATTACAGTAAATGTTTAAAATTTCAGAATTCAAAAATTAAATAATTTACTTCAAAACTAATGAAAAATGAAATCAAAATGCAAAACATCAATTTAACACAATTCGAAATTAAACTACAAATCCAAAATAGACCAGAGTTGATGACGTCTACTCAAGTCTATGAAGTAGACATACATGACTGAACCAAAATAGGACTCCCAAAGCCTAAGTAACCGAATGTACAAAATACAAAAGATGCAGGTACAAGCTCAAAGTCAAGCTTACAATGTGATTACAAATAAGGATAATGGCATTCAGCTACGGGACCCGACACTGCAGACACCTACCCAATAGCACCATAGCCAAGCCAACTGAATCAACAAATGGCAAGTTAAGAAATGAGCACCCCACACCCTAAAAATAAAATCCAGTAAACCTACAAATACACTGGCATGTGAGAAAAAAATCAAGTCACGAAAGGATGTTGTTAAAGGAAATTAATCACAGGTGAGATTCAAGCTCAAAAACACAATTCATCCACAGCCATCAGTTTCAACTCTAGTGCGATTGGTTCCATCATCTTCATAACAGCTCCCATGGTCCCCACAGCTGAACATTAACTCTTAGTGGGCTGTGCTGTGACATATATTTTACTGATCTGATATCAAGATTTTACACAGGAGCTTAAAGTTTATAATGCTCACTATCGGAAATAAGAACAGAGGTCAATTTGTACACATTTTTGCCAATGTTACCCAGCAAAAATTAAGAACTTACAGAAAGGTAGACAAATGAGTCTACTTGAGGAATTTCACACGCTGCTTTGAACTACAGAACCACCAGATATCTGTGGAATAAGCAAAACTGGTCTAGTGTTTCCTTTTGAGGGGGAAGGGGCCAGAGAGTTAGTACAATTTCAGCTCATTTCCGCCCCCCTTGGCTTTAGATTGGCTTTCTCTTTAAGACCTAAACTGTTCAAAGTGGCAGTTCCTATCATACTGAGGTTACCTCCTATTTCTCCGTTTACATTAAGTTAAAAAAAAAAAAGATCTTGTGGAAGCATTTTACAACTGAAAATAAATACATTTCCCTTGTCAAACTCAATATTGGCTAAAAAATTAACCTGTACAAATTTAGTAGCCTACAAAGAATATGTGTGTCTTTTTCCTTTCATAAGTGCTGCTGTTGTTACTTGAACAGAATCCTTCTGAATTAGAGTAACTGGAATAAATATTACAAAAAAAAAAGTGCAGCAAGAACCTGAGACTTGCAAAAAACCCTTTTACCAGAAACTTGCTACAAAAAGTCTGCTACATCTTATATCTTCAAATCTTTAAATTCTGTAACAATTTCCATCAAAATACAAAATGTTAATGTATTAGACAGTAAAATAGTCTGAATTGGTATGATGGTAATAAATATTAAAGAAAGCATGAAAATCCTCCCAATGATGAAATTGAAGGTTTCAAATAACCTCCCCTTTAAAATAGTTCATCGTTAATCGCACTTGCCTACCTTAAAAATACAGTGTGTCTATACGGATAGCATCTTGGATTATATGACTAACTGAATACTTATGAAAACATCATTGACTAGCTATAAAGAAAACAAGTGGCATTTAAAAAAAAAAATTAGGCTAGAATTAGAAGGCGCAAAATGTAAATACAAATGCACTTGGGATTACTGCAGTAGCCTAAGGCCAAAGTGTGCTTTTCAGCACCAGCATCCCACACACTACATAAAGCCAGAGACAAGGAGACAAGTACCTTAGCTTCAGCACGTAAACGGTGGCAAAGTGGTTACAGGACTCTGTAAGCACTGTTGGTAACAAATACAAAAAGCTGAGGTAGCTCAGTATCTCTGCAGTAGTCCAAGACTGTTTGCTCTAATTAAAACTCAAACTACATGTGCTGCATACTGGAAAGACACACCTGCAGCTAAGAGCTACAATGAACGAAGTTATCAAGCCAACGTTGGGCAAGATTTCCTACTTTTTCTGTTTAAAAATCATCTGATAAAAAAAAGTCACTGCACTCCCTTTGCCTCTTTGCAACTGCCTAGACTTTGTCTCCAAATTTGTAGAAAGCAAGGTTTTTTAAAAACCAGTAGCCCATAATTAATTTTAGATAAGTACAATTTACAGAAATCACACCACAAGATCCAAAATGGTTTTCAATCAACTAAAGAGCTGTGAAGGGTGAAGAGTATGGGAAGAGATTTAAACATTAATACTGTTATTTAAGGACTACACCAGAACTCCCTTGCAATAGTATATATATATTTATTTATATAATGAACTTTATGAAACTTCTGACAAATTCCTCTCTTTCCTGTCCATTTGGCAAGTCCTGGCTTTAAAAACAAAACTATAATGATTTACTATATATGAAAAATCATTCTTCTCTGGGAATTCAACCATAAGCAACTATTAAATTGACACCAAAGACAAAAGAATGGCAGGTATCTATTTATTTTCTGGTCATTACTGTCAGCAATATTGAAAAATATGTAAGCTTTTTTGTAGGGTGTTTAAAATTTGCTACTACTGCTGTTTTAGTACAAGTTTCTCAAACATAAATAGACCACAAAGGAGAATGTACCATTTTATTATACCTTGTGGCTTACTGAGTGTCTTCACTGCATTCTGAGAGCAAGACAAGCATTTTATACCAAAATACTGGTTGCCTCTTAATGACACAGACTATATCAAAACTTATTTTCAAGATCATAACCAAATAAAACATCCTGCTCTTTGTTACAAGCAAACTCCTACATCTTTCAGCCTTATCTTTCTCAAATGAATAAAAAGGCACATTGAAGGCAGTTCTAAAGAGCCTAATCGAATTTCATACTGTTTCCTCAGTTTCCCACTAGAATATACCGTAGCCAACTCTAAGACAGATTTCAGTTCATTACCCAGAGAATAAGAAAACAAATATGATAAAGGGAAAGGAGGGGGGGGAATAACAGGTTGCCCACTGTTTAAACAATTCAACATGGTTACAACTGCCCCATCCAGTTTCCTCGTGTTTGCTGGTCTGCTCACAAGAGTCTCCATGAGAGTGCACGGAAAGAGGAGCAGAGCGAGAGCAGTTTCTGTAGCACCAAAATCTCCAAGCTGTGGGGTTGTATTTTTTTACTTGTGGAAAATACAACATATTTCTGAAGTTCTGTTTGGTTCTTGTAGGCTGGTTGGTTTCAGGTACCTGAGACAATAGCACCAAATTCAACAGAGAACGAATGAGTGAGAGAGCACTAAAGACCAAGGCTCTGCACATAATTGGTGCAATCTGAAATTGAATGGCTCAGAAGACTGCTCTGTCAGAGCAGATTGGAGAGGGTAAACCACTCATCTTGGGAAGTTCATAGGAATGTTTCAAACATATGAACTGTTCTTTCCATCTCCTAAAGGAGAGAAAAAAAAGTAACACACATTATCTATTAAGCAGAAGGCAAAAGTATTCCTTATTAAGAAGAGAATTCACTTTTATAAACGTTTTTAAAAAATGAATTGAGATAGAAGTTAAATTTTTAATATGTTCTTAATTCTAAGACCACACCTACCATGCAAAGCTTTCTGCCCTGAATACTCTCCAGGCCTGTTCACTGCATATTCAGACTGAGGATGATAATGCTAACATGCAGTGAGTACTTATTACACCAGATACTGTTAAGACATTTCTACACATATGTTAACTCACTAATTCTGCAAAAGTCCTGAAGATAGGGATGATACAAAAGAAAACCAAGGCACCGTCGAAGAAAATGCTTTGGCAGCTAAAAGGCAGCAGTCAAGGTCAAGCTGGGATTTATACACAAGCCAAAGCCTGACATTCTACTGACTTCCAAAGCAAACTGGATGCACTCACATGTGGTGGTGGTTTGTATAGTCAAACTTACCCTCTAATGGGACAATTCATAGGAACACATATAAGCTCAACATATCCATAAAAGAAAACTTTCTTATGACCCACAGTTGCCTAGAAAGGAAATGATGCACCTCTAAAATTATCTAAGCAAAGAACCACCACTGCTTGTTGTGGGTATTTTACAGACCTAATGAAATTAAGTGAACTTCTAACTATTAATGGGTGACAAATAAGTCTCATTGCCCATGCCAATTCCCTCTGATCAGCTGCTGGGCGAGCAGAGCAGTGTTAAGGACTGTGACACTATCCTCATTCATACTTAGCCAGCAATATCTGTAAGGAGAAAGGAAGGGGAGAACTATGACATACGATTCTGTGCAAAGAGAACTGCGCTAGGCTAATGTAATGGTTAACGTGCCTCACTGCTAACTGGAAAATTAGAGACTGAAGGCTACTCAAAGAAGTATCCAATGAAAAGGCCTGTTTATCTACTGAAAAATCAGCCATTATTATAGAGCATAGTTCTGTATTTACACATTGGGTCTCTATGAGTTGAGTTAGTTTATTCTATTTACATGCCAAACTGATCACCATGAATTTATGTGTTTTGACATAATAAGGAACCATAACTCTTAATGATTCATCTAATCTTAAATCTTCAAAACATTCTTTATGCAGTTACTTGGTGAAAGCCACAGACATAAGGCAAAATAACTTTTCCTTTTTCCTTAGGGATAATGAAAATGTGTATCTGTGAATTCAAAAAAACAGAAAAATAGCCTTACCTCTACAAGTTGTGATTTGTCATAATCTTTACGATGACGGTAGATGCACTGACTAAGAAGAGAATATAATCGCTCCAATTGATCAACTGCCAGATTGTTGCTTTTATCAACCAACAAATCAAGCAATTTCTAAGAAAAAGAAGAAACAAAGAGAATGAAATAAGGTTTTCTCTCACTGGCCAAATTGAAGGGGTTTATTCAAATAGTTATGTACAGCCATTACCAAGACTATTTCCTCTATTTCTTCACTCCTCAAAATAGACATACTTCTTTTTGAGTAGAAGTTCTAAGGCATTTCGATTCTTAGGTTGAAGAAAGAGACCTCCAAAAAACTCTTTTTATTCAACTGCCTATAAACATATTCAAATCCCTTTCCATCATTTTTAAAACTAATTGAGGAAATCTAGGTTTACCTTCAGTCTTTCATGATCAACTATGAGTGGTGGCACAGGCTCAGATGGCTCTTCTGGAACCAGTTCCAGGCTTGTCATTTTTGCCTGTTCTAAGATTAACTTACGGTATTTCTTTACTTTAGAAGCACCTGCAATTGAAGAAAAGAAGTAGTCTGAGCAACTAAAAGTTAAAAAAAAAAAAAAAAAGAGGTTTACATAACTTACAAAATTGTTTATTTACTACAAATTCTTTGAATAAGAAAGGGCATAACTCTCTTCAATTTTTTTTTGGTAAGAAAAGTAACTCTAATTAAAGACAATTAAACCATAACAAAGCAAGACATGTTACACTAGAATATCAACTGATAAGCCTATCCACTAAATGAAGAAAGGGAATCTTCATTTCCAAGCACCAATTTATAAATAGCCTCTCTTTATGAAAGCCATCATTAAAAAACTTGGAGCTTTCAGAACTGGAAGGTAAGCAATCTAAAAAAGAAGGTACAGATACAATGTAGAACCAAGCTGTCTATAAATCTGCCTTTCAACCTAAAATATTTTCCGCAATATATTGCCTGAATTTTTTTCTTCCTGGTACACTCACTAAAATATGATTTGAGATTTATCTGGGATATTAACATTTTTCCCCTCTTATGAATTATAACCTTTTCCCCTGATAATTTCAAATTAAAACTTCCAGTAAAGCTTTTCCATAATAAATTATTTTAATGGGTAAAATGATAATTTAAATATTTTCTGTAAGCTTATTGAGATCTTATAGAAAAAGAGTCTGGAATGAGATTCTTTTCCTCACATTCATTCACCTGAATACCTTAAAAATGTCTCCCCTTTTCTGTGACCTTTGTTACTTCTCCCTAACTTTAGCTAGAGTTTAGTTTAGTTTTGAAAGTTCTAAGTGATAACTCAGAGGAAATACAGATCTTGAAACTGTTATTAAATATTGAGGGGAAAAGAAAAATAACAAGTACCATTTAACAATAAAAATCTTTATTCATTTGAAAAATTCTAAGACTTTCACATGATTATAATGAAGAGTAATTTAATCTAGGTAGGTAAGATTCCTTCTAGTAGAAGTTACTTCCATTAATATTCAAGCCTTCTCTGCCCACTCTCTCACCTCATCCTAGTAATTTTTGTTAGAATTCCATTTTCATACCTGTGGATTTAATCTGTTTTTGGTTCTAAATCCCTTATAATGGGGTGATAATCACATAAGAGATGGGAAGGAAATGCATTCTGGACATCAAACTCTCTAAAGCCTTTCTGAAAAACAAAGTGAGTGTGTGTGTACTTTTCTAGAGAAAGATCTGAGAACTTCAGCATATTCTCAGAGGGGTGGAATTATTCCTTACCTCTTGCTTGTAACCCACCCGCTACCACAGAGTCAATTCTCACTCAAAGACACCCTGAAGGACAGCACAGGACTGTCCCATGGGATGTCCAAGGCTAGCAGTTGACTGCCTTAAACACAGCTCTACCAGCACTCCTCTGCTGTTGGCAGGATATAAAGAACACTTGTAATTCATTGAACTCTGGAGTTCAAGTGTCAAAGATTTAAAAACATATATATTGGGGGGGGCGGGGAAATAGAGAGCGCGATTCTACCTTCTTTATCCAGTTCTGTGTCTTTAACTTCCACATCTGCGCCAGGTTCTAATTTCTCATTATTGCTACATTCCAGTGCCTCTAGTTTCTCAGGATCATCTCCAGGACTTTCCTTGCAAGTTTCGGGTTTTTCTTTAGACTGGTCCTCCAGAAGGGCTTTCTGTTCAGAACTACACTTATCTCCACTTCCACAGAAAGACACCACTTCAGCTTTGCCATTATGGCACTCCAGAACTGGAATTCCTTCAAAGCTGTCAGTGGAGGCCTCACCATTTAGACAGTTCCCTTTGAGGAAAGGCTCTTTTCTAGATGTCTGTTCTGGGTTCAGAGAACTGCTGCTGTTGACAAGCAGGGATTCGTTTGAACTCTCCTCTTCAGTTGATGCGAAGTTTTCTTTTGTGCCTGCTTCATGGCTGAGCCTTTGGCCCTGGTCCATGTCCATGATGTCACATGATGACTCATCATTGGTCATAGACAAGTCCCCGGTCTCTTCTCCATTTTCCTCGTGGCAGTCAGTGCTTAACTCAAACTCTCCATTCTCTAGCAATTTCCTGTCTTCTGTGTGATTCTCATAGTCCACAAATTTGGTGTCCTCTTCATCTTTTTTTAAATTATTCACTTTCCTTTTCTTAATAATTCCTTTACCCCACTGTGATCGCCGCCTTGATTTTCTCCGAACTCGAACTATTTTTACAAGAAAACAGAAAGAAACAAAGAAAAGTTTAGAACTTGGGAGTGTAATACTTGTATTAGATAGAACCCAAAAGAAAGCAAAACCACAGATCATATGACACATCACCAAAAACTACTTTGCCTTTGACACCTATGCTGATTAAACCTCATGATTTACAGTTAAAAAGGATATCACATCACAGAAAAACTTCGCAGAAAGAAAATGTTTCAATGGTATTGCCTATCTATTTGTATTTAACATTACTATTTTCAATTACCACAGAGTCTAATTCTACTTTACAGTTGGTTCCAATTTCCAGTATCCAGGAATTAAACATGTAATATATACATTTTGAGAATGATCGCATTACCAGAAGGTTTGCGGCCACAACTATGGATTTCCACTAAGAAGGTGATGGTGGTTGTTAGTGAGTCAGAACCAACTCATAGCTTACTCTCCAGTATGTTTTTAGAGGCTATAAATCACACAACAGATGACTGCCCCTTCCTCCTGCAGAACTGCTGGTGGACTCAAACTGCCTGCCTTTGGGTTGTTAGCACAACTCCTTACCACTAGGCTACAAACTCCCTAGTCAACTGCTGGCTTCCTCTGTTACAAATAATTCACCTCCAAGCAACAATTTCTTACTAAGTAGTCATCTGAAAATAGGTGAGAAAATTAACACCTCTGTGATCAAGATAGCAACAATATTAACAAAAATAGAATATAAATATTTCATCTATTAAGTTAAAAGGCACAACTACAATAGTTTTACAGACTGAATTAAAACTGATTATAGCATTCTGAGTGAAAAGCCAGAGCTTTTGGGCCCATGGATCTGTAACTTCATTTCTATCTAACAAAGGGCTCTAGTGGTAAGGAGCTGCAGTGCCAACCTGAAGGCATACTGTTTGAATCCAGCTACTCTGTGTTAGAAAGGTGAGCAACTTCCTCCTGTGTGATTAACTGTCTCTGAAAACCTTCTGGAGGGTCAGCCACGGGTTGGTTCCAACAAAAGGGTACACAACAAACAATAACAACAACCTCTCAAAGATAGTTCACTCAGGCAAATCTACCCTATCATTTCTTCAATAAACATGTTAACTTTTATTCTGCTATTTTTAATACTTGCATAATATAATGTAAACACAGAAATAATTAAAGCAAACTCTATTGCTTCTAGGGAGCTCTGACGGCCCAGTTAAGAAGCTGCGTTGCAATCTCAAAGGCACTCTATTCCACCAGCTGCTCCATGGGAGCAAGATGGGTTCCAATTTGAAGCATACAACAATTAATGCTTCTGGGGTCTAACCCTAAATGATAAATACTAGAGGCAGCCGTACCAAGGTGCACCAGCCGCACCAAGCTGCACCAGCCACACCAGCCGTACCGAGCCACAGCAGCCACACTGAGCCACACTAGCCGCACCAAGCTGCACCAGCCGCCCAAGGAGAGAGATGAGGCAGTTCCTCCCATTAAGATTTACAGCCTTGGAAACCCAGTTGGAGCCACCATGCAACATGAACAGTCTCAGCACCAATGTCAACTTCCTCAAGAGCCTTTTCTGGCTACCCTGATCCTTACAATACCCTCTTTTTTTCTGAAATACGGTGTTTAATACCTGCTTTTGTTGAAAGCCATCAAGCTGATTCCAACTCATAAAGAGGGCCCTGCAGACAAGAGAATGAAACACTGCCCAAAGCCACGCCATCCTCACAGTCACTGCTGTGCCTGAGACACATCTCCATATCACTGTGGGCTTCTAACCTAGGCCCCACAAGTAAGGTACATTATTTTATTCTTAGTTGTTTTGGGTTTTTTAGTTTACACCTAACCCTGTTCCCACCGAATTTATTCCAATTCACGTCCTTGTAGGAAAGAGTAAAACTGATTCATAGGGTTTCTAAGGCTGGGACTGTTGTGCAAGTAGAATGCCACAACTTTTTTCTTCAGAAGGGCTAGTGGACTCACACCACAGACTTTATGGTTAACAGCAAGCACTTAACCACTGAGACACTAGAGAATTCTTTCCATTTATGTAAGAGAGCTTTTAAGAAAAACCCAAAGAAAACACAGCTCTTTTTTGTGAGACTATGGAAGTAGAAAGCAATCAAGTCTGGCTCAATCTTAGAAGACTTACTGAAATGACTATCAATTTTAAATATGTCAAAATCAAACATTTCCTAAGCAAAGATACTTTTAAGAAAATACAACAAAACCTGTGAAAGTCAGATAACTGTCAGAGAAGGAAAACTCAAATATGATTTTTAAACAGTTTAAGACTGAGAACGGTGGAAAACTTCAAAGACTTGGAAAAACAAGCCAGAGTCATTCAGTTTTGGCTCTTAACAGTTTCACTACTTACATACATGAGCGCTAACCATAGACTCTTTAATTCACAGTTTTGAAATTTGATATTTAAATAATCAACCCATTTCCTTCCCCTGGTATTTCTTTATCTGTGTATGAGACAGATAGAAGGGTATACGGTCTTATGACATCCCTGGTTCCTTACACTCATGCTTGATTAATATGAATTTGTACTCTATCACAGTGTGTAATATGATTACATACTTTTTAAATTCTTTCCTCTTTAATCTCTAATGAGACACCAAGGGAGTTGCAAGTAATGGGTAAATGTCATGATAATATTTTTATTCTTTGTTATTTAAGAAAGTATCTACCTTTTAAAGGATTCTACTATCAATTCCAAAATTCAAGTTACCAAGTCAATTTGGCACGAATTGTATTTTTCTTTCAAGATGATATTATCATTGTAGCCCTCTTTTCAATCCTTTTTTTATGTGTTAATTTCTATTTTGTAGAATTTATAGTTATAGGATAATTAGCATAGAAAAACCCGTTTATACTGGTCTACTTTTAAAAGCTGGTATACAAGAGTAAGAGATGAGCATTATAAGCATTTCATTTACTATATGAAAAACTAATCCAGATGATGTCCAAAATTAAAGAAAATACTATTTAACTTGCTGTCTTCAAAAGGCAGAGCTGTTAGAATTGTAATGCTTGACTCTACAACCATACAATAAAAAGTATGAGTGGTCTGCTTGTTCTCTCTTAAGTAATATAACTCCAGGACAAGAAGAACTTTGCCAGTTAAGAGCCTGCTCAATTATTCTACATATAGTATATTAAGAAAACACCAGGAGCCTTACCACATAAGAGAAACGAGGCAATGTGCTTCCATAAAGAGCTCCAGAAGCCTTTTGAAGCACTTCTACTCTGTCCTATAGGTCACTATGAGTCAAAATCAACTTGACAGCAATTATTTAGGAGCCTACGAAAGCAAGATTACTTCTGATATTTTCATTCTGGCTAATAGAGAAATTGGAAACAGGAATGGCATCCACTTCCTAAACAACATGGCTCCAGAAACTCTATGAACTTTAATATTAATGTAATGTCAGTAGTTATAGAAAGGCTTCAGGCCTTTTGTTCATAGGGTCGCTATGAGTCGTGCTTGAAACAATGGCAATCGACAACAAGAACAAAAATAAGATAAAATGTTCTTAACTCTTTCGGAGCTAGATCTCTATATACCCCTCAATTTACTCTTGCTATTAATAGTTAAAATCAAGGAGCCCTTGGGGCACAATGCATAATTCGTTGGGCTGCTATAACTCCAAAGCTGGTAGTCTGAACCTACTGCTCTACAGGAAAAAGATAAACAGCCTTCAGATAAACAGACTTTTATACCCTTGGGAAGTCATTATGGTTCATACTGGATGCAGTATCAGTGGATTTCAATAGTTAAGTCATAGAAAAGGAAGTTCTGGTAGCACGTCCATGGAGAGTTGCACCCCTAAACCAAAGACCTCATCTCTCTGGCAGTTCTTCAGGAGAGAGATGGGCAAGCTCCTCTCATATCATTCAGAGACTCCAAAAACCTGCTGGAGGGTCAGCTACAAGTCCATTCTGACTTGAAAGCAATGAGTGAGTGGTCACATACGCTCGAGGAAACGATTTTTGTTTGTTTTATTCATGGCTCTGGACCATCTCCTCCTGTGCGATTTACGGCCTCTAAAACTCACAGCTGGTTCCAACTCAATAATGAGGAGAGCTGTCTAGTCCTCAGCACCTGGTATGTAGCTGTTGCTGTTAGGGGTTTGTAGAATCAACTACAACTCACAGCAACCAGATGAACAAAGGATCTGAACCACATGCTATCCTCGTTATCTCTGATATATTCAAGTTCACTGTTACAGTCACTGTGTCAATCCTCCTTGCTGAGCATCTTTCTGTCATTCAGTGATTCCCTATCTTTCCAAACATGATGTCTTTTTCTTCCTAAGAATATGCCAGTGACCTAGTAGTCAGAAGTTGTGTAGCCAATGCTAAAGAATGCAATATAAATCTACCAGTTGCTGCAAGAAAAAGGGATGGGCAATCTCTTCCTGTGCAATTCAAAGCCTCTGAAAACCTACTGCAGGGTCAGCCACAAGTTGGTTAGACTCAATGGCACACAACAACATATAATTATGAGCATGTGGTGTGAGTATACCCTTGAGGAACTGAACTTTGATATACCACTTTATTTTCAGGAGGTGCTCTATGTGAAAAGTCCATTTAAGAGCACAGTCTTCAGAGTCAATTTATATAACAGCACTGAGTTTGTTTCTAAAATTACGAATTTAGGAAAGTAATTCATACTTAGGGACATTCAGATTTATGGTTTAAGCAAGCTAATGCAAAAGAGGCAATTAATGTGTCACATATGCCATCTACTGGTAAGAGGAAACAAAGCTTACATTTCTAGACTAAAAAAATGTTTAATACTTAAATGAATTTAAATGGTTTAAAGCCAACATTTACTAAATTTATGTAATCAGGGGCTAAGTATGTAAGAGTTCAAGGTTTAATTTAGTGCTCTGCTACATAATGCATGAGCAAGACTCACAAAGAAAAACTGATGGTGGAGTGTCAGAGAAAGGGAGGAAGACCCTCAACAAGATGACTCAACAGTGACTATAATAGTGGGCTCAAATGTATCAGAAAGGAGGAAGACGTCACAGGATAAGGCAAGGTTTCCGATCTGTACTTCAAAAGGTCGCTATGAGTTGTAGTTGATTCAATGGCACATAACAACATCTGATATACAATCAAGCAAAGACATTCCTGTTGAGTCAACTGTGGCTCACAACTCTTAAGAGTTGTTGTTGCTCTTAAGTGTCATCAAGTCAAATAAGACTCATAGTGACCCTATGAACAACAGACCAGAGTGTGTCATATTCTGTGGCATCCTCTTCATCTCTGACACACTTGAGCTCATTGCTGCTGTCACTATGTCAATCTATCTCATTAGGAGTCTTCCTCTCTTGTTGACCTGCCACCTTTCCAAGCATGATGTCCCTTTTGCAAGGAATAGCTTCTCCTAGCAGCATGTCCAAAGTTTGAAAGATGAAGCTTTACTATCTACTATAGAGTTTCCGAGACCGTAAACCTTTATATGAACACACTATCAGACCTTCCTCTCTCTAAGTCACTGCTGGGTTCAAAGTGCTGATTGTTCAATTTGCAGATGAGCAGATGTAACCACTTACAACTAGGCCAGAGAATCATAATAGGTTTATGGCAAACAAATGTTCCATTAAATCCTTCAAACTTTTCACATACAGATAGCACTTATCAAAAGGATTATATAAATTCAGCGCATATTTACACCAACTTTACTGACAGGAAAATATCACCTGCATATGGGAAGGGAACTCTGGTGGCCTAGGGGTTAAGGAGTTGCACTGCAAACCCACAGGAAGGTGGTTCAAACAACCCTCAGCTACTCTGTGGGAAAAGGATGGGCAATCTCCTCCCGTGAGCTGGAGGGTCAACTATGGATTGGTTTCGACTTGACAGCAATGAATTGGTCCTTTCTTATGTGAGTAAACAGGAAGTACAGCATGTTTTATTCCCAAAATAGTTAAATAAGAGGCCTATATGAGGAAGATGTAATTTTTTTAACAATTGTCTTTCTTTAGATAAGTATGAATAAGCAAGAATAAAGGAAATCTCGTTTTTTTTCCTCTCTCTAAATATGTCTTTCTTAAATAAATCTAGGCGAAAAACTCAGGGCAAGTTTTAAAAATGGAATAGAAAATACTCTCTCAGAAAAATCCATTTCCTCTATAAGTTCAACCATTTCCATTACTTGTAGTTACTGATTACAATTTACAGTTAATAAAAGATCTGAACTTTGCGCCATCTTCACGATATCTCATGTGCTCCAATGTGCTCAAGCCCATGGTCACAGTCACTATATCAAACCATTTTTTAAGGGTCCAATTCAAACTATAAAGAGAATACCTTAGAAGTATTGGTGAAAAGTCCACTACCTCTATATCACTATCCAAAACCTAATGGTTAAAACTAAAAATAGTAAAAAAAAAAACAAAAAAAAAAACCACACACAAACAAACAAAAAAAAAACAAACTAAAAATAGTCTAACCTATTTTAATTATAGGGTGCTCTGGTGTCCTAGTGCTAAGGAGTCATACTGCCAATCCAAAGGCAGGCATTTCCAATTCACTAGCTGCTCTATGAGATATGGGACCATCTCCTCCTCAACTGTTCATACCTTCTGAAAACTTGCTGGAAGGTCAGCTGTAAACTGACTGTTCTGACTCAATGGCATGTAATAATATAAAAATAGTAATAGTAAGGGGTAAAACACAGCAATTAGGAAGAAATATATTTCTGATTCAGCATCTTACCTCACAAGCCCTTTACCTCTGAAAAGCTAAATTAAGAGCTGCAAGAAAACAGCAGTGTTTTGGTTTATGTTCCCAATTCCCAACAAATCCACATCTTTCTCCATTGTTCCCACCCTGAATAACACGATCTCAAATACTCACATGCACATTTATTTGCAGAGTTGTGCCAGACATCCATTGGGTTCCTTTGTTTGTGCCGAAATGCCTCTTCAACTCTAGTTTCTGTTTTCCGAGCCCCACTACCATGAGGATTTATTTGTTCTGTTGTTACTGATAAGCCTGCAAACAGAAGATAAGCAATACCTATTTAAATATTCCTAGCGACGAAAACCAACAAGGTTGAAAAAAGTCTAAAATACAGAACTGTTTTTAAAGTCATTAATTATGTTTAGACAGCTTGCAATTCTGATAGAAATAGTGTCTTTTGTTTTAAGATGGTAAAGAAACTAGCTATAAAGTCATAAAAATAAAGCAGCACAGCAGGCTGTGCTTCTATTTAATCCTCAATGAGGCCCTACTTTTACTTATTTGAGTTCTCAAAAGGAAACATTTCACATTATTATGACTGTGGGACAAGAAGGCTATATATTGTATAAAAGTCATGATTCTTGACATCTTAGAATGTGTAATGTTCACTGGGCCACTAAACTCTGTTCACATGAACTGTGCCCATCTGGCAGTTAGCTAGCTGCCTGTCACACAAAACTGCAGTAAATTTGGTTTTCCTGGGTCAATTTTAAAAGTAACCATTCCATCCTTCTGTTTCTTCACTGAATTTTTATGGTTTTGTCTACATTGACATTAAATATTGATATTTATTTTCAGAGTAATCTCTCTGAAATCTCTTTTCTTTTTACTTTAGAATGATAGACACTCTCTCACAAAGCATCACTTATATTTTCAGCTCCCATTACCATTATGTAATTACTCAAATGCACATCTTTAGTCCACACATTTCTTAAACTTCTAAGTTTACATCCAACTACCTACTTGGTATCTCCTACAATATACAATAAATAAAAGTAAAATTAATGTTATCAATTTTGTTTCTCTATAAACCAAAAAAACCACCCTGTCCATTCTAAAAAGACAGAATATTAGTGAGCATACATCAATGGTAGTTAATTTTTTAAGACATAATGTACAGGAATGATCACATGAAACACAATGTGAATAAGGGGGGAAAATCAAAACCAACAACCCTCTCTATCCTTCTGTATTCTCTATCCAGAGAAGCGTATCAGCATAGACTAAACCATCAATCAGTAATCCAGCAGCCAATATGACTCATCCTTCTCACACTGCCCTCCATCCCTACATCTCTTTCATATTCATCCTCTCCATCACAAGCCATGTTTCACAAATTAAAATCGTACACTACTGTAAGGACATTTTCCCTCTCAAAAGCTTTACTGAGGCAGTTTATAGTTTACATACACTCAAAATAAAAATCACTCATTTTAAACATACAATGCAACAATTTTTAGTGAATGTGTAGAGGAATGCAACAATACAGCAACTCCATTTTAAAACACTGCACCAGGTGGCCACTTAACTACCTTTAATCTTTATTTTTTTAAAAAAAACTCACTACTGGAGTGTCAAAATCAACCCACAACTGACCCTGGGGCAGGTTTCTAAGGCTGTAAATAACATGGGAGGAGATTTCCTATCTTCCTGCCACAGAGCTATTGGGTGATTCAAACTCTCAGCAAGCCCCGCCTTTGGGTTAGCAGGGTGACTCCCCAAAGACTACACCACGGAGCTTCACTTTAATCTCTACAGGTTTGCCTTTTCTCAAAATTTAATGTTAATGAACTTGGGCAGTTTTTTTATGACTAACTTTTTTTATTTGGCATTTATTGTAGTGAGTATAAATAGTATCTTTCCCTTTTAATTGCTAATAATAATATGGATATTCCATGTTTTGTTATCTAGTTTATAGAGCTGTGGGAACCTAGTGGCAAGAAGTTGAACTGACATCCCAAAAGAAGGTGGTTCAAATCTACTAGCTTCTCTATGGGACAATAGGAGGAATCTCCTGTACGATTTGCAGCCTCTTAAAACTCAGTGAAGGGTCTGCTCTTGTTGGTTCCAACTGGACAGCAATCAATTTTTAGAGAGCCAATACTTTAAGCTGTTGCTAGTTTGCTATCAATATTCGCATGAGACTAGGAAAAAATATTTAGTAATGAAATGTCTGATAAAGAACTTACATCTAGAATTTATAGACTACTTGAGAGCCACAAGTTAAAGGTAAACAACCCAACTACAAAATGGGCACATGATATGAACAGACATGTCACCAAAGAAGACATTCAGATAGCAAACAAACACATGAAGAAATGTTCAAAATTCCTAGCTCTAAGAGACACGCAAATCAAAACAACTACGAGGTATCATCTCACCTCAGTAAAAATAGCAAAATTCAGCAGAACAGCAGACAAAAGATGCTTGCGAGGTTGTGGAGAAACTGGAACCCTTACTGATTGCTGGTGGGAGTGTAAAATGGTACAACAACAATAAAAGGCTGTATGGCACTAGAAATAGAAATACCATTTGACTCAGCACTTCCACTACTGGGAATATATTCTAAAGAAACCAGAACTGCACATCCATGTTTATCGTGGCTTTGTTCACAACAGCAAAGAGTTGGAAACAACCCAAGTGCCCATCAACAAACAAATGGATAGAGAAGCTGAGATATATTCACACAATGGAATATTATGCAGCACTGAAAAACAAAGAACTCATGAAACGAGTGACCCTGGAGGACATTATGCTGAATGAAATATCTCAGTCACAAAAAGATAAATAGCAATATAATGCCATTGTTATAAAACAGGACTGACATGGGAGTCGGGGGAGGGGGCTATGAAAAGAGGAGATAAATAATGTACATGGTATTGAAACAGACGAGGGAGGGAGAGAACTATATAAAAGGAATATATAATTAGGTATTATTGGCATGACAAGAGTCCAAGAGTCCAGAATAAGAGCTGCATAGTAAAGTGGTCCGGGGAGGGGGATGCTGTATAACAAAGAAAGAACTTTTTTCCCCAAAGAAAAAAGTGAACTGGGGGGAGGGGGCGGGGACAGGGAAGAAAATGTACAACAATAAATGAATGGAAATCAAAGTACTTTATAAAATCCCGATTTAAAAAAAAAGGAAAAAACTAAGGGGTACTTGTGAACACGTAACTATCAGAACAGAAAGTACAGTAAATAAGAATGGTATGAGATGTAAGCATCTCCCTTTTTTTTTTTCATTGTTACTATAGTTTATTTAAATGAAACTATGATAATACAGAGAAGAGTTTGATGTGGCAGCTGTCCAGAATCTTTGTGAATTAGGTGCCAACTGGCTGGAGAAGAGTCCTTGGACCCACACTTCAGTAACAGACAGGTCAGCTGCATAAATACGGAGAAGACAAGACGTTTCACAGCTTTTTGCTTTGCATTTCCATTTTAAACATATGTATGTTACAGCTTTACATTTTAATTAGCTACTCCACATACTTTTTTTTTTTCTCCACATACTTTTTTAACGGTGGCTAAGAATGCAATGGTCCCAATCCCCCTGACATAAGCAGATCTGGGTTTGCAACATGGAATGTTTTAGTAAGATACCAAACAAACCTCTGACACATAATGTACAAAAAGATCCTAAAAAAAGACAAAACAAACCAAAAACAAAACAAAACACAACCAAAATAAAAGATTAATAAAAAGCTTTTCATGTTAAACAAGAAAAGGGGGAAAAAATTTTAGGGGTACCTTAAATGTAGTATTGTGAGGATTCAATCTCTTGTCGTTTCTTAAAAAAACTAATGGGAAAAAAATAAAGCAACATCATAAGGAGCATCTCCCTTTTTACAACTCATTGCCTCTTTTTATTGCAAAAGAATATATGATGATAATTTCAGAACTCCCTTTGAAATAAAAATCTAAATGCTTCAATTTATGAAAAAATAAAAAAGAATAGATTCAGATGAAAGTGTATCTGAGCATGTTTATAATCGATTTTTGACAGATTCTTAGCAATGAAATTGCTGTGTGGTATAGTTAATCTCTGGTGGCATAGTGCATCACATTCTGTTCTAACCAAACAAAGGCTAAGGTCTCAAGAGATTTGTTCTAGCCATACAGATCTGACACTATCTATCAGAAGTAACTTACTGGCAGTGAGTGATGATAAATCTATACCTACATTTTTAGGAAATGTCAAAATGTTTTCCAAATTAGTTCCTCAAGTTTCTAAACCAGTTTCTCACCTTCGACCCTGCCATAATGAGACCACGCTATATACTGCTACCAAATCAATCTTACAAATCCACTATACTGCTTAAAATCTTTTTTTATTTTATTTTATTTTATTACTTTTGTGTGTGTGTGTGCAGTCAAATCAGATCTGACTGGTACAGGAGGAGATTGCCCCTCCTTCTCCAGCAGAGCATCTGGTGGATTCAAACCACATACCTCTGGGATTGCAGTGCAGCTTCTTGCCACTGGGCCACCAGTGCTCCCTCTGCTTAAAATCTTTTAATGACTCCCTACGAAGTAGGACAATGATCCTTAAACTTTAGGGTATATAAAAACTACCAAAGTATATTTGTAAATATAATTTATTTGGTCATTTTTCTCAGAGAATCTAACTTACAAGTCAACACTGATGTGGGTAAAGGGTACACATATCTTGGAAAACAAAGACACAGGATAAAAGTTCATGCTCCTTAGTGTATCACTGAAATATTTCCTAAAAACCTTTCTATATAAGACATGGTACTAACGACTGGAGTAGAACTAAGAGGATGACATCTGAATAAGTACACAACCAACAACAAGAATAAAGGAAAACAACAAAAAGCCAAATGCTAATGTGACCAGGGCCCACATCAGAGTAAACGGCTATGGAAGAATGCTCAGGATGGAGAAGCTGAGCTTCTCCACAATTATGATCCCTTCTCATGTGATTGGTAGCCCTAAAAAACCCACTGGAGGGTCAGCTATGAATTGGTTCCAATTTGGTGGGACATAAAATAACAGAGCCTTGGTGGCAATGTTTCAAAACATTTTACTGCCAACCAAATATATGGGTTTAAAATATTATAATTCAAAACAGTGGTTTTGATTTGAATCAACATCAGATTATCTGGTGAGTCCTATATACCATTCTGAATAATACTTACTTATAATTTTTCTAATAAACAAAAAACGCTTTAATATGCATACTGTTTCCTCTCCCTGTAGTACCTCCTCTATTCTTCTCCTTGCCTCCCTTCCCTAGTCCATTAAAGTTAAGACTACACTCACTCCCCAAATGTTGATCAAAATGTTGTTTCCTATCCACAAAGTGTCTCCTCTATGTGCTCTCAATGAACTTCAACAAGCACTTATCATATTGTACTTAATTTGTTTTACATTCCTCTTTTACTAATGGTGAATTTTCCTTAAGGATAGGGCACTAGTATCAGAAATAAAAACGTTCTAAAACCAAGGACTATAAACTTCATTACAGAAAAGCTAGGAACAACACTAGAAGTCCTAATCCACAACATAAACAGTCTTCCCAGTATCCTGGAA